AATGATCAACATCATGATAAATGGAAGAGTGAGTGAAGTTGTCAGGGATTTCATTTTACTTGGATCATCAGTCAACACCCATGGGAGCAGCAGTAAGGAAATCAGATGTCATATTGCATTGGGAAAAGAACTCTTTAAAGTGTTGAAGAGCAAAGATGTCACTTTGAAGACTAAAGTGGGCCTAACCCAAGCAATGTTATCTTCAATTGCCTCATATGCATGTGAAAGCTGAACAGTGAATAAGGAAGACCAAAGAAGAGTTGATGCCTTTGAATTGTGGTGTTGACAAAGAATTCTGAATACCATGGATTCCCAGAAGAACGAACAAATCAACCCTAGAAGTGAGCCGGAATCCTCCTTGGAAGCGAGAATGGCCAGACTTCATCTCACCTACTTTGGTCATGTTTTCAGAAGGAACCATTCACTGGAGAAGGACATCATGCTTGGTAAAGTGGAGGGTCAGAAAAGAAGAAGACTCTCAGGGAGATGCATTGACACAGTGGCTGCAATGATGGGCTGAACCATAGCAAGTTTTGCGAGGATGGTGCAGGATTGGGTGGTATTTTGTTCTGTTGTACACAGCGTTGCTATGAATTGGAGCTGACTTGACAGCACTTAATAACAAGTCTCCAGAACTGTGAAGGAATAAATTTCTGTTGTTTTAAGCCATCCAGTTTGTGGTAATTTACTATAGTAGCACTAGGAAACTGATAAAGGACATTTGGAGAGAGAAAAAATAATAATCCAGGAAAAAAAATACAATCTGCTCTTTCAACTTTCCAAAATAGTGTTTGACTTTTTGCTTATGTAACTGAGGTTGCAGCTGGACTAGCTAAGCTCATCCTATGGAACAGGCGCATTTGAGCATGTCTGAAGAGCAGCTAGATGGATCCATCAAGGCTCTGTGCATCTACTGGGAAGAAAATATTCCTAAAGAAACAGGGAGGGCATGCATACCCTCCCTCTAAGATAGCAGTTGTCAGTCTCTAATCCCAAATATGCAGGGAATGCTGACTAGATGGCAAGCACTGTACTAATCATCAAAGAAGAGAGGCAATTTTAAATTTAACATTGTGCATGTTACTCATACAGCCTTCTGAACGAGTTCCTGGACTTTCACTCTGCCCTAGACACCTTGGGACTGCAACAAAGGAATGAGCAGAACAGAAAAAGCCACATCCCCAAAACCTCCATAATAAACTGATAGCCTATGACTACCCAGATTTGAAAATCTGTGTGGATATGAGGGTAACTGGCCCTCATGAGGTAGAGATTTCACTATGGAATAGATTGGAGTAAGAAACACAGTGGTAATATACATCATCTATATATAGTGGAGAGTGAACCAAGGGTCTGGAATAGGAAAGAAGCAACTACAGATGACAACTGGCAACCAGGGAGACAGCATTTATAAGCTCATGCCATACACTCCTGGGTACTCGCTGAACTATGGGGAAGGGATTTGTGAGATGATACAGTTGCTGAAATTCTGTCCTGGGGGCTGAGCACTGTATGTCATAGGTCTGTATGTCCCACAGCGTGATACAAGGAAATAGGATCTATAGGAAAATGTTGTGAGAAAGCTAAATGAACTATATGTGTAATTTTCCTTAATTGTGAAAACTGGCTAGCAATAAATAAATTAGAACCTAAACAGTAAATATTACTTATTTTTTTTCCTGGGGTTGGTGTTGGGCTACAAATAGGATTGAAATCATAATGGCAAAATTTGGGAAGTACATAGACTTGATCCATTTGATTTGTGGTGTTGGTGAAGAATATTGACAACACCATGGACTAAAACAAACAAACAGATCTATCTTGGAAGAAGTAAAGCCTCAATGCTCCTTAGAAATGAGAATGGCCCAACTTTGTCTTTGATACTTTGGTCACGTTATCCGAAGGGACCAGACACTGGAGAAGGATATCATGCTTGGTAAAGTAGAGGGTCAGCAGAAAAAGGGGAGGCTCTCAATGAGATGGACGGACACAGTGGCTGCAATGATGGGCTCAAGCAGAGCAAATACTGTGAGAAGTGCTGTGTTCTATCGTACATAAGGTCACTATGAGTCGGAACTGACTCGGCAGCACCTAACAATAGCAACAACAACAGCATACACTTCTATCCTCCAGAACTGTGAAAGAGGAGGAAGAAAACATTTGAAACAGAAATGGTAAAAATTTTGCCCTTTTACACATTCATGAATTCACTGTGTTCCCATGGCTTTTTAGCCACTGATAGTAGGAAATAAAAGTTCAGCATTCATGAATTCACTGTGTTCCCATGGAGTTTTATCCACTGACAGTAGGAAATAAAAGTTCAGCATACCATATACTTTTATATAGCTGGGCCTCTCTAGAGGGGACAAGCAAATCTGGTGAAATAAATGAAGTCCAATTTTCTTCTGGGAAGGGTTTCCCATTATCCAGTATCATTCTTTAGTTAAATCATAGCTTGAAAGAGGAAAAGAAATGTATCTGATAATCAAGTCTTCTATGGCTTAATAGAAGGCTGTCTTTTGCTTATAAAGATTGGTTCTTTTTTTCAGATTTGCAAAAGATCCTCTAAAGTGCTTTGCTGACTTGTTCTCCAGAGCACCACGTGTGACAAAGTTAAGCCCTTGACTGCTTCAGCAAGTAGAAACCTGACTGCTGCCCTGCACATCCTAGGATGACTATGTATCCTCCAGGCCCTTTGTCAGTTCCTCCTGGTATGCTCACAGGCAAGGAGGAACTCCTGGATCAGATTTTGTATTTGGAAGGTTTGAAGTGAAAGATCACAATTACCAAAGAAAGTTCTATCTAAGCTTAGAAGGCCCCTTATAATGTAAAGTACAGTCAGAATGCTCCTTAGAACCAAGGATAGGGAGCCTTTGTCTCACGTGCTTTGGTCATGTTATCAGGAGAGACCAGTCCTTAGAGAAGGACATCATGCTTGGTAAAGTAATGGTTAGCAAAAACGAGGAAGACCCTCAGCGAGATGGATTGGCACAGTGGCTGCAACAAACATAGCAATGATTATGAGTATGATGCAGGACCAGGCAGTGTTTCATTCTTTTGTACTAGGATTACTGAGTCGGAATCGACTGGATGACACCTACCAACAATATAATAGAACACTAACCTTAAAAACAACTCTTCTGTACCTCATACACACACTCATTCAGGATTTATATCTGAATATTAGGTCACACTCATACTTAAAAATAAAAAGGACATATTTTTACATTTTTATCTTCTGACACTTCCTAGGAGCAAAAATCAGTGCCTTCATTATATTATATACTAGCAGAATTAATAAATATTTATTAATGCTAATATAATGTCAAAATAAATACCAAATATCACCACTTCTGTTTTGAAAGTGAAATGGATTGCTCAGATGACAAATTTTCAACATGGTAAAGATAAAGGCACAGGCACGTATAACATAAATGGTGAAATTTATTTCCTCTCCACATGCTGTGTTACATGCTTTAGCTTGTCTGGTTAAAAGAGAGCTACAAGTCATATTGGTATATGAGAAGGACAGTTGATAAACCAGAGTTTTGCAAGAGTTTTAGTTTTTTCAATTTGGTCTAAAACCAAAACACCTAATACTCACAATTAAGGTTATAGATGGTTTATCTTCTTTGATCCACTTTTGTAGTAACTTGCAATCTGAGCCTGGAAAAAAACTTGCCCATAGAGATAACAGGTTCTTTAACCTTTCCGAGTTTACCAATGTTAGAATGCTCAGCTATATAAAATTCTGCCTTAATGAAAATCACCAAAAACATACATTACATCTCTCAAGTCCTAGCTATGCCACATATTACAAGTATTTCTTTTCTCCTGAAGGAAATATGACTCAATTTTAAATGTCACAAATGGAAGAATTAGTAGACTTTCAAACATTTTTACAAAGCCAGGCAACTCACCTATTTGAAGAATATCTCTTTGCAAATGACTCTGGTAGGAACAATTCCATAAATTTACATTTTAATTTTTTTTTCTTCAGCTCTTCATTATTTCATCAGAGACAAAACCAGCCTCAGGTGAAAGCTGGAAGTAAAAATCTTCCATCCACCCAAGAGGGAAAGACAGTGCTCTGCTCTCAAAGTCTCAAAGTCTCAAAGTCTCATCACACGCCCCACCAGCTGCTCCCTGCTATTGTTTTTCAGCGACAGTGACCTCCAACACCTAATAGTTAATGCTGCAACGCAGTCTTAATGGTTTGACGGCACACCGAATATATCACGTGCCAAGCCAACACCTTAAGAGGGTGGGAAGCTTCTCAACCAGGAAGAGGCGCCGAAAATATTTAGCAGTCAGCTCAATTGCACATAAGCTTAGCCTTGCTTGTTTTTCACAGAACGATCAAACAGCATAATGAGTCAAGATGAACTGATTTATACAGTTCTAAACTGGGAGCCATCTGGAGCTATGCCTCTGCTGCTCAAAAACTTCCCTCTCACTTTAGGTTTAAATTCTGGGCAATCTCAGGGTAACAGCTGCTTTCCATGTTTCTTGTGACAGTAGTACATTTTTTCTTGTTTTAGAATTCAATTCTTTTCTACTCTCTTTGTTCTTCTCCTATTTACTCTCGTTTAGTCTTTATAAGCCATTTCTCCTTATAACCATGCACATAAACCTCCCCAATTGCCCAAAGAGGGAGTAGTTTTGAGTTAAATACATTCTCACAGTCAAGGCATAGACCAGGCTGCTTGTGCAAAAAGAAACTTGTTAAAAACTATTTCCCAACATTTAACCTATTATTCACCAAAGACCTTTTGGTGCTTACTGAGACTTCTGCAATTGCTTAGAAGTTGGATTTCAGGTGAAGCAAGTTTCATAATTTCATAAGGACTTTGCCACTATGCAAACTAAGTTCTGATTCATTTGTTCCTATCTGAAATTAAATTCTAAGAACAAACATTAAACATTCTGAACACAAAACAGGGAGCTTGCCCCTGATACCAGGTAACTAATGAGCTGTCACGTGATCTGATTGAGCTCACCTTTTCTGTCCCAGAGTTGGAAGCTTTAAAGACTCCTCTCCAGATTTTCTGAATGAGAACAGGGAAGCAAACGATGACTTGAAGCTTAGCCGAGAGGGAAAGAAAGTTAGGTTTTTCTGTTTAGGTAGATTTTTAGATCTTGATGTTTGCAATTCTACAGGATCTAAAAGAAAAGTTGTAAACATTGTGCACCATTAAAATATTTCTAGATAAATATGCTTCAAAGAACTAAGCCTTCACTTTTGCTCCCCTCTGTTGTTTTCCAAGTAGGCATCTCCACATGAAGGCTCAGGGACTAAGGAGAGTCAAAGTTGCCTCTCAGGAGTCCTATGGTGGCTCCTTTGAGCCGGAGGAAATCCTCACAAATAGTAGTGAGCCTTTTAGGCTGCACTGAGGGATCACAAGTCTATAGAAGATTCCTCCCATCATACCAGCTGGGTGGATCTTTCTCAACATGTCGTCTCCATGTCTATCCAAAACTTATATTGCTTGAACCACCTTGTCCTTCAGAAATTTTCGTTTTAATACATAAAACCATACTGATAGGTACTACATAACTTTTTATACCAAAGAAAGTAAAGGGGGGGGGGGTCATTTAGAGTGTTTCTTATTCCCTTCCAAAATCTATCTCTGTGTGCATCTATGTCCTGTACATGTAGTTTATATATGTGTATCCAGCCCTGGTGGCACAACAAGTTAAGTATTTGGCTGCTAACTGAAAGGTTGGTGGTTTGAACCCACCTGGCGGCTTTGCAGGGAAAGACCTGGCAACATGCTTCCATGAAGACTAAAGCCAAGAAAACTCTATGGGGCAGTTCTACTCTGTCATGGGTAGAATATGGGGTCACTAAGATCAGAATTGATGCAATCTAACAATAAGAACATTTTATGTGTACACAGACACATACACAAAATAGTTTTATATATGAATATTAAAAAATCCTAAGATAACCTCAACATATACAAAATCCATACTACTATAATACTTAAGGGAGCTCTGGTAGCATAGTGCCTAAGGCACTTGACTGCTAACCAGAAGGATGGCGGTTCAAACCCACCAGCCACTCCTCGGAAGGAAGATGGGGCAATCTACTTCCGTAGTGATACTGCCTCGGAAACCCAAGGAGGGGTCGCTATGAGTTGGGTCCGACTCGACAGCACATAACAACAACAACATAATACTTAATACTTTTGGACATGCAGAGTGTATAAAAAGGAGCACTGGTGGTGTGCTGGTTAACACATTTGGCTGTTAACCAAAAGGTCAGTGGTTTGAACCCACCTGCCATTCCACAGAAGAAAGATGGTCAGTCTGTTTCTGTAAAGATTTACAGCCTTGAAACCCAGTGGGGGTTGCTATGAGTCAGAATCAACTTGATGGCAGTGAGTTTTGAGTGTGTAAATATCAGAGGAATTCAAGATAAGGGGAAAGTCACCATGGTACTTATGGGATTAATCAAAAAAATCTACACTATGAGTGTTTTTAGGTAGATTTGTTTATTATGAGAGTTGCAAAAATATTGTCAATTTATACACTTAGAAATGGTGTTACATGTTTCATGATGTTACTAATGTTAGTAATATATACACAAAATCAGTCAACATGCCTCTGTATCAGTAAAAAGACAATTTATATTATTATAAACCAAACCAAACTAACTGCCATCATAGATTCTGACTCATAGTAACCCTACAGGACTGAGTATAACTGTTCCATAGGGTTTCAAGGTTATAAATCTTTATGAAAGCAGACTGCCTAGTCTTTCTCCTATGGGATGGCTGATGGGTTTGAACCACTGATCTTTTGGTTAGCAGCCAGGCACTTCAACCACTGCACCACCAGGGCTACTTTATTTTGTGATAGTATTTTATAATTTCTAATGCCCTTCATTATTCTCACAATAGTTCTGTGAATGTAAGTTTTATTTTCCTCATTTTGAGATGGAAAATAAAGTGATTGGTGAAGTTAAGTGACATGCTGGTAGTCACATAGTGAGAAGGTCCAAAGAAAGCATTTATTAGAATTCATGTATGGTGCTTAGTTAGCAAAGGACTGGAAGGGCAGAGGATCCACCTTTACCTCCCCCTACATTTCCTTTCTCCTTCTCTTCCTCTCATCCCATTTATTTAACTGCTTATTGTGTTCAGGTTAGTATTTTTTATATATCATTTTGTCATTCTTAAAAACTATGAAGTAAGCATTATTATACTTATTTAAAGATGAGAAAATTGAAAGTTATAGAGACTAACTAACTTGAACAGAGTCACATAGAGACAGGGTAGAGATTTAAATCCAGGCTTTTTTTTTTTTTTTTTTTGACACAAATGTCTATCTATGCTCCTAATCTTTATGCTGTCTTGCCTGGTTCTAAAAACATGCCCCAAGACATTATTATAGCAACAATCTAATTTTTTTTCTCACCATTTTTTGCCATCTCCTTCCTTAGCCTGTATGTAAGTGGTTGTTTTATCATTTGGCTAACATCAGTTTCATTGCAAAACTTTTTTCTTTGAATTTCTTCAAACCATTCACCAGTCACTCCTTGAAGCCATCTGATATCTCTCTTTGTCTTCTGGAGTTTGCTGAAATAAAACAAAAATACAAATTCATTCTTTAAATTATTAGAATTTTGGCCCTCATTCATATCTAGCGCACAGTCATGCAATGGACTAAATTTTACCTGGTGTTGGAACAATACAAATTTTAAGTCTAGAAAAAAATTTGGTTCTAGTGAAAATTTCCTTTCACCCTGTATATGAAGTTTAGCTATATTGTTGTTGTTGTTATGTACCGTCAAGTCGGACCTGACTCATAGTGACCCCTCCTTGGGTTTCCGAGGCAGTATCACTACAGAAGTAGATTGCCCCATCTTCCTTCTGAGGAGTGGCTGGTGGGTTTGAACCTAAATCCATTGACAACCTAAAAGTTTTTCCTAGTAGTTAAAAAGATCATCAAGCCTGTGAGGACAAATCTGCTAAACCTTGCTAATAATGCAATTGAATGACATGTAGAAACTAGAACTTTGGTGAGTAGAGACTGGGGTCTTAAAAGCTTGTAAGTGGCCATCTAAGATACAACTTTTGGTCTCTTCCAGTTTGGAGCAAAGAAGAGTGAAGAAAATCAAATACTCAAGGAAACAATCAGTCCAAAGCCTGCATGAACCTCATCCTCCAGTAGCCTGAGACCAGAAGAACTAGATGGTGCCCAGCTACCTACCACTACTGATTGATCTGATCACAACAGAATGTCCTGGACAGAGTAAGAGAAAAGTGTCGAACAAAATTCAAAACCATGAAAAAGGCCAGACTTATTGGTCTGATAGAGACTGGTGGAATACCCAAGATTATGGTCCTAAAACACACTTCAAATATGGAATTGAGCCAATTCCCAGAAAGCACCATTTAGACAAATAACAGATAGGCCTATATAGTGAACGGCAACACCTGTGAGGAATGTGCTCTCCAGAACAAGCAACCATATGAGGCCAAAAGGGCAGCATTTGCCCAAAAACAAAGGTGAGAAGGCAGAAGGAGCAGGAAAGATGGGCAAATAGAAAGGGGGGAACTTGGGAAGAAGTGGGAAGAATGCTGTTACATTGAGGGGATTGCGACTAATGTCACAAAACAAACCATGTATAAATTGTTGAATGGGAAACCAATTTGCTCTGTAAACTTTCAACCAAACCACAATAAAATGTTAAAAAAAAAAAAAAGTATATTCACCAACTCTAGATTGTACATGATAGTAACAGGGCAGCTTAATTAAAAACAAACAAATGGATGGCATGTAGAAACTAGAATATTCTAGTTCTGATTACTCATTCATTAACTAATCCATTAATTAATTAAACATTATTGAGCAGTGTTTATGTACCAGACCGTATATACATGCTGGTGGGTTTGAACCACCAGCCTTCTGGTTAACAGTCAAATGCCTCAGGCATTATGCCACCAGAGCTCCTGTATACATGCTGGAAGTACAATAAAAAAACAAAAAACAAAAACCAGACTCACTGCTGTCAAGTCAATTCAACTCATAGCAACCCCTCCTTGGGTTTCCGAGGCGGTATCTCTATGGAAGTAGATTGCTCAATCTTCCTTCAGAGGAGTGGCTGGTGCATTTGAACTGCCAGTTTTTTGGTTAGCAGTCAAATGCCTTAGGTACTACACCACCAGAGCTCCCAGAGGTACAATAGTTAATATGATAGACAGAGTCCTTACTGTTCTATCGACTGCTCAGAGGTAAAAGCTAACATGCATAAAATTGTTGAATGTAATGGTCTGTGATAATGGACTTCCTCCTGAAACCACAAAAGCCCATGAAAGAACATAGGGCTTATTCTTAGATAGTAAGTGACAGCATGATTTGAGCTGGATCAGAAAGGCTGTCCAGGTCACAATGTGCCAGACCCACAACTGCAGAATACCAGGCCTGAAATTCTATCATTATCTCCTTTCTTCTCTCCTGCTCTTTACTGCTTAGTCCTCTTTCTAATGAGAATGCCACTCTTCAGTTCTTAAACCACCCGTTAGGATTTGGTTTTGTTTCTTCTTTCAAAGGTGATCATTTTGCTCTATTTTGGGAGAAATCTAGAACTGTGTGGATTTGAGAGCTACTCAATTCAGAGGGTGACATCCCTAGGCTGAGAGAAAAAGATCAGAAAGAGAAGTTTGAAGAACATAACAACTATTATACAGTGGTTGGTTTTGCATAGTATTGGTGAAAAAAATTAGGCTTGTTGTTGGGTTCCAAGCTTGGAGAATCTGCTACTTTGGGAAGTATTTCATGTGACTGAGCAGCTGTTGCCCATTATTCAGGGTCTGCTGTGAAGGACAAGGGTTAGGGACCTTGTTTTACTAAAAAGTTGATCAGCAAGAAATCTGCAAAGTGGCAAATTTGGGGTTAAAGGCAATAGGCTGAGATGGATGCGACTCAGGCTCTTGCTTGGGGCTATGATACTGCTATTTCATAAAATAATTGAGAAGGAAGCCAGAGGCCATCCTGCCCAGACTTGCATTTTGAAAAGCACCAGGCAGCAATCATTATGTTCAACCTACAGAATTCACATTAAACCAAAAACAGACCCACTGCTATGGAGTCCATTCTAACTCACAGGGACCCTGTAGGACAGAGTAGAACTGCCCCATAGGATTTCCAAGGCTGTATATCTTCATGGAAGCAGACTGTTTCATCTTTCTCCCATGGAGTGGCTGGTAGGTTCAAACACTGACCTTTTGGTTAGCATCTGAGCACTTTAACCACCAAGCCACCTTTAGTGCCTCCCATTTTTCCATTGCCATTCCTCTGACATCTGATCTCTTCTATCTTCATTGCTACTTCCCTTACTAGCAGACTAAGAGACTACAGGTATCTACTTCTAACCAATATTGGCTGCCTCTAATTTCTGAACACCTGACTTATTAACAAGGAGCTCTGATAGCACAGTGCCTAAGGTATCTGACTGCTAACCAGAAGGTTGGTGGTTCAAACCCACCACTCAGTGGAAGCAAGACTGGGCAATCTACTTCCGTAAAGATTTACCACCTTGGAAAACCAGTGGGGGTTGCTATGAGTTGGAATTGACTGACAACAGTGAGTTTCAGTTTTTGAATTACTAACAGTCCATGTTTGTACCTAATCTCCATTTCTTCTGAACCCTCCCAGGTTGCTGGTTCCCTACCTACCACTTCTCAACATATCTATTTCATTTCAGAGGGCAGTCAAGCTTAAGAACTTGATTTAGGAACTAAATCAACATAACTTTTATTCATTTCTTTTCTAGAGTCTCAAAGGAGCCCTGGTGATGCAATGGTTAAGCCCTTAGCTGCCAATCAAACATTTGATGGCTCAAACCCATCATCTGCTCCATGGGAGAAAGATGTGGCAATCTGCTTCTATAAAGATTACAGCTTTGGAAACCCTATGAGGCAGTTCCACTCTGTCCTAAAGGGTCACTATGAGTTGCAATTAACTTGATGGCAGAGGACTTGGGCTAGAGGCTCAGTGTAACTCTGCCTTAAAGTGATCACAGTTCACTTAGCCCCACTTCAAGCACTCATTCCGCGCTTGCACATATATCCATTATGGCCTGTTTCATTTCCAACTTCTGGCCAATGTAGTCAGAAATCTGTATTTCCCATGAATTCTCATAGACTTCGAATTCTATTTCAGGAAATATATTTTTAAAAAGTAACACTTCCTCCAAAATAACTGATTTAACTGAACATTATGCAGTTGCTGAAAATAATTATACAGGCAATGTAGAATCCTGGGAAAACGCACATGACAACACAGTGCAGGAAAAGCAAAATGCAATAATTTATCTATGATTGTGGCTCTGTAAAAAGGATGCACCCTTTGGACACTCTAGGGAAAAAAATGAAAACACCAGATCAGGTGATCACTTAGCGTAGAATAATTAGGAGTATCATTTATTACATTTATTCAACAAGTACAGCTATTTTTCTTTTTAATTGTGAATTTTTATTTATGTTATCATCTTTCAATTATAATTATTTTGAGATATAGAAAAAAAATTATATTTGTCACAGTCCTAAAACAATCACTATTGCCTTTTTGGTGTGATTTTTCCTTTGCATTTCTTACATAGTTATGATAAAATTTATTCAACAAATATGTGTGTCAGCAGAGAGGTGTCAAGAGATACAGACAACAAAGATAAAACCTTTCACATATACAATACTGCATTATCAGTGATAACAAACATTAATCTGTGGGTAAATAAATGGGTAGACAGGCTGAATGATCAGTATGTCTAGGCAAAAGGGAATATACCCATGACAATATATAAGGTCGGCAGATGGTATTTCTACATATGTATTTGCATGTGCTGTAAGAATGTCCATGTAACAAGAACTAACAGGGGGCAAAATTATGACAACTTCTTAGACATAGTCAAGCACCCTAATGCAGAAAGTTGTTGGACCTGTGGGCTCAGGACCATGTTGCAGAGGACATCAAGTTCAATTGGCATAACATACTAAATAAAAACATTGTTCTACATCCTAGTTTGGTGAGTAGCAACTGGGGTCTTAAAAGCTTGCAAGTGTATTCGATTGCTAAGTATATATCCTAAAGAAGTGAGAGCCAGGACAAGAACAGATATGTGTACACCCATGTTCGTTGCAGCACTATTTACAATAGGCAAAAAGATGGAAACAACCTAGGTACCCATCAACAGAAGAATGGATAATCAAACTATGATACATACACAATGGAATACTATGCAACCCTAAAAAATAACGTGGAACCTGCAAAATACTACACAGTGTGGATGAACTTGAAGGACACTATGCTGAGTGAAATAAGTCAGTCACAGAAAGACAAATATTGTATTAGTCCATTATTGTAAAAAGTCAAGGAAATGTTTATATATGGAAGGAAATTTTCTTTGTTGGTTACCAGGGGTGGGAAAGGAGTGGAGGGAACACTGCTAGATAGGTAGAGACAAGTACTGATTTGGGTGAAGAGAAGGGAAATGTACCAAATGTGAGTGATCAACACGGTGGCATTGAGGAAGAGAAAGACATAGAGAGGTGCATGGGAGGTACAGACAACAAAG